ACACACTATTGAGGTGATCAGGGTTATTATGGGGGCTCTGCTGCCCTGTACCGCAGTAGTTATGCTGTCTGCAAGCCATCAGGCGGCGCTATGTGACAGTCTTTGACGCGACATTGTGAGGCAGGATGATGACAACGATGGAATCCCGACTGCACACAGAGAACATGTTGATATTTTTTGCAGTTTGTATAATTAGTGAGGCAACTGCTGAGCCTTCTAAAAATAGAATATTACAGGTATATGTGAACAAGTTAGATCTGCTGAGTTTATGGGTCGCCGAGCAAAGTCTTTCATGAATGAGTAACTACTGAGGTGCAGGACAGCAGAGCGGTAGCAGCCACAATGGACGATCCTGTGAGCCTGAGCTCAGGACACAGAAACCGTCAGTTTCAGATACTTTTCAGTTTCAGATTCTCTCACGATAGAAGTGCAGCAAAAGTCCTGTGCGAAAAGACAGCCAACAGTGAAGCCACTCGACTCGTAACTTGTATCTGAATACGTAGACTTTTCAACTACCTCTGAACGCACTGACAACTCTCATTACGTGTCCACATTTTAATTCAGATGAGCAATTTTCTTACACATTTGAAATCCTGATTACAGACAAATTGTGAGAGGACTTTTGTAGATTCCGTTTGGCATTGACAACTTCTTTTACACATTGACAAATCTCACTTCGGACACACAGATTGAGATACAGACAGACAACTCTCCATACGCATGGACAAATAGTTTTGCTACAACAATGCCCCACTGGGTGAAAGTTCAGTATGAATTTGTCCTCCTCCAGCTGCAGTCATTTCTCTTCGATGGGCTGTGACACGTTTTGTGGCAATGAGCTTCACATCAAGCCACTTTTTTTTTTTGAATTTGTATAGCTGCTAGCAATATCTCCTGTGACCCAGCTGGTCCCATGCAGTATTTTTTTTCTTTCGTTGATAATCCCAACATCTGACACACCAAAGAGTAGTTTCTGGTTAGTGTAACATTAGATCTGTGTATAATTATTTATTATACTCATTTGCATTTGCTTAATTTGTGTATTATTTTGGTATTAATTTATATGGTTCCTTACATATTATTTAATGTATTATTTAATCAGATATGTTGTTATCTTATGTTTACTTCTTGCCCTGCTCTGTGTCCCAGATGTTGGTTCCTACCTGCTATTGTTTTGGTACAAAAACGGAGGGAC